TGATACAGTAGTCCTCTTAGGTCTATAAAAAGTTTACATAAACTGTATAATAATAAAATATAAAATATAACGATACATATATAAAGTCACAAAGTCAAAAATGTTCTCTATTTAGTAAGCTTGTAAACGAAAAAAAATTGTTCGATAAAGTCATGTTATGAAATTATCCGCATCATGATCCTATAAGATCAATACCATAAAGAATACGAACTTATATAAAGATAGATTTGAATGTGTATCTAACTTACGGCAACTTCAGATGCTCTGTGTGTTCAATTCTCTTTCTTCAAAAAGCGTAAAGGATATTAGATAAAAAGGTTTAAATTTTTGAGTATCCTTTTTGAACATGGCTTGAACTTGTCATTTTTATGATATTACGACTATTTCGCAAGTATTACTCCGCGATCTCCATCCGATCACGAATTGCAGAAACGGTGAAAATTGAAGAACGATGCACTAATTCAAGCGTCGATCGCGTTAAAGAGATTTTCGCACGTGAACATCGCAAATCAACTATTTTGCAATTCCAATTCTCTATCATTTCGACTTTCAAATATATTAAAGTAGTTAAAATTTTTCCATTTTAATTAATTTCGCAAATGGTAATATATTACAATTTACCCTGCCGGAAATTTTCAATAGAAACCGATAAATCCATATATGAGATTTATCTGTTCTTATTATGAGAAACTATTTGGATATATTTGGTTGTATCCGCATCGAAAAATTTGTATTACAATATTTTACACGTTTCTATCCGAATCAATTGTAAATTGAATATATCTGCGAATATTGATAGATAATATTTTCGAATTTATCGTAATCAGTCGGATGTATCTGCATTTCAATGCATTTGCGAATACAGAATTTAACCGTACCTATACGAATTTATACGCATCATTTAATGTTCACTGTACCTGCATTTTACGAAAAAAAATTGATCCGAATGTATTAGCATATATACGAATACCAGTATATATTTGCGTATATAGGATATATATTAATCTGTGCTTGCGTTGTATGATTGTCACCAAGTATTGGAATCTATCCGTAGTTTACGAACATGTTTCTATTTGCACCTATACGAATTTACATTTTATCGGAATTTGTACGCGTTTGCAAACAACCCTTATATGAGCATGGAACTGCAATGCATAGCAGATATTCGTAATGCGTTTCTATACGTATAGCCCTGCACAAAGTTTACCCGCAAATACACGCTTTTAAACGTACCCGATTATAATTGTATTTACGTACAAAAGATTTATCGGTTTTTATTTGCGTTCGGACGAAAGTCGACAGGTTGTGGAATCTATCCGCAGTTTACGAACATATTTCTATCTGCACCTATACGAATTGGGGTTTTATCGGAATTTGTACGCGTTAGCAAACAGCCCGTATATGAGCATGGAACTGTAATGCATATCGTCGTGCACACAATTTATCCGCAATTGCATTTTTTCAAATATTCCGGATTGTAATTGTATTTTCGAATACAAGACTTATCGGTTTCTATTTGCAAACGCCATCAGGTATAAAATCTGTATATAAGATATAAACTAACAATAAGTTCCTCCCGTCGGGTTGTGTGGCTCAACGGCGAGACGGTTGCTTGCTAATATGGACGACTTCAAGAGACATCGATTCAAATCCCGGCATCGGTGAAGGACGTTTTTTCTCGGTCTAAAGCCGGTTCTACATTAGTTGCAAGCCGATCGCAAGTTTGTTGCGACAGCCAATCTGAAGTATTGATTTCAAAATGCAAGCTTGAGATTGGCTGTCGCAACGAAATTGCGATCGGCTTGCAACTAATGTAGAACCGGCTTAACTCTTACAGCATCAGAATTAAGGATTTCAACCATCAACTTATTCAAGAAATTCTATAACTAATAAATTTATTAGTTAAATAATAAAAGTATGAATATAAAATATTTCAGTTATAACAGAACATTACATTGACATATTTTTAGAAATTATTACGTTAGGCCATTTGTTTTATGGTGATATAGCATAATTATTGTATAACAAAATAAAATTACATTGTCAAAGTATAATATTGTTCTCATTGGAGTGTCCTGCCCCAGAAAAACTAGAGATTCTATAATAAGAATTTGGCCAAAGCGGGCACAACTTCTGATTGGTTCTCTACCTTGGTCCATTCGGTATTCTTCGGATAGCTTTGTAAATTGTCGGAAAACGAGTTCGGAGAATAGAAAAAGACAGATAGCGTAATACGAGAAAGAAAGCAATATCTGTTATCTCCTCTTCTATCAGCCATCTTTGGTCCGCTTTGGCGAGCCCCAACACACACTTTTGCATAATGCACAGGAAGTAAGATATAAGGAGACTCCACTCCGTAAAATAAAAGTGGACCCATTTTAGGTTTCGAGTTCAGCTTCCGATTCTGATGAGTGCGAGTAAGAGAAATGATCATTTCTCTTACTCGCACTCATTATGCGCAGCACTACTAAATTCACGAGCGCTGCGAGTGTCGAGAATCGGAAACGGAACTCGAAACCTAAAATGGGTTCATGTCTTGTAGACTGGCGAGACCGAGTGGAGTCTCCTTATATCTTCCTTTATGATAATGCATAAAGTATGTGCATAAGGAATTTCATTGGCCCATTTTCTTATGCATGAGTCAATGGACCAATCAAATTCTTTATGTATATGGTTTATACGTTATGCAAAAGTCTATGCTCCCCGCTTTATTATAGGATCTCGAAAAACTAGAGACCCTCTAACAGAGACTGGCCATCAGGGTGCCACTTTTGATTGGTCCGCCATTTCCTAGCGATTCCCGCTCGTATTCAAATTTCAATTACTGCATTTACTTGGAATGTAAATAGTATGTAATGATAAATATTATAGAAATATTGAAACCGTGCTTTTTACATCAATATAAATAATATACGTCAAATAAAAAAAAACATGTCAAGTTTTATCGTCAGTTATATACATCTTTATCTTTAAATAACTTTGTTATAATAGCTGTTTTTTAACATTTATGATTTAATTTTTGACTTTGTTATTAAATTTTAAACATTGACTCTTATATTGTCTTCGTTCTTTTTGTTTATACGTTAAATAATTTCTATATTTAATATTCTCTTTCTTAATTCTATTAAATCTTTTTCAAATAAAATTAAAGTAAGGTTAGGAAATCAGTGACAAACGTAAAAACACTTAACATTTGTAAAGTTTATTTAAAAAAGGTATGTACTGCCAATAATTTACTATCATATCTTCTATTAATATTAGTATTTTTCTTACTTAATGTTCTTAATTTGAATACGACAAACTTTCTAATAATTTTAGGAAACAATTGATAATTTAAAACATGTTTAGCCGTAACCTGACTAAAGACAAATATTAAATAATTTTTCCAGAATTGTGCAGTGCAACCACCCATTTTTATTGTTATTATTTTGTACTGAGCAAAAACCACGAACACAACCTTGAATCAACTCAGATCAACTTAAATAAACGAACACATACGAACGCACATATTCGTGTGAGTGAAAGAGTGAAATGGTCTATATTTCTCTCTCACTTGTAGGATTTCGCTAGGAAATGGCGGACTCGCCTGATGGCCAGTCTCTGTAGAACATATATGTAATACTACTATATGGCTAGTGCCTATAAGAGGGAGTGAGAGGAAGCGGTCCCAGAACCACGGTGCGGGAATATATATTTCCCTCTCTTTCTAAGAGTACTTTGAGTGTTGTGCGCATACGTTGGATTGATTGCATCCGCCAATAGGAAAATAGAGTGCGATCAGTGAGATGACGCGAACAGGTTATGCTCGTTATGCTTATTAGATGTGTGCTGTTGTACACAGGCAAAAATGGTCAAGATATGTTATTTATGTGGCAAAAAGCCTAATGCGCCTAATGCGACTGAAAACATTAGTTTGCATAGGTATGAAATAGGTATTAGTTTGCACTGATTATCATGAAATTTCTGTAAGGGATTGCACTGTATTCTTATATACATAACGGCAATTTTGAAAAAGTTTATTTCATAAAATTAATTTATTTATTCCGACTGAACTGACTCTGTAACAAGGTTATACTCTGAAGCGGAATCAATCACTTTTTCCTTCTTCCTTACACATATATGTATATTTATCCTTCTATTTATTATTTGATGGAGGGGATGAATCCGACGCATGCGCACAACGTTCAAAGTACGCTGAGAAAGAGAGAGAAGTATATTCCCGCACCGTGGTTCTGGGACATGGACTTCTCTCTCATCTAGTAATATTACATATAGTAATATTACATATATGCTGTAGAGGGTCTCTAATAGCGTTTTCCACTGGGAAAACTGGTGCAGCACTAGCGCCGTGCTAGGTTTATATAAAAACTGCATTAGTGCAGTAATAGTGCAGATTCAGAGGAACATATTCGATACTGGCTGTATCGACACTGTACACTTCGAACAACAATTTCTTCTTAAAAAAAATGTTTTATATATAATTATATAAAATTATACATAATTATATATAAAATATGTCCAAATATATATAGATACAATTTTATATAATCATATCATATATAATCTCCTGAACGTCCTTGATTATTTATTAATTTTTTATATATTATAATAATTTTTTATAACAATAATATATTTAGTTTTTACATATCTAGTAAAATATGTAGTTAGCATTAATATTTCAATGTTCAAAATCATTAAATTAATGATAGCTATTTTACTAGATACGCAAAAACTAAAAATATTATTGTTATTAATTAAAATAATTTAATATCATGCCTTAACGTATGATCGTATTTGAAAACGCAAATATATAACTTCAATTTCAACTTGCACTGGTCTCCACTGACTTCAAAGACAGTGGAGCAAAAGTTGAACTCAGTGCAAGTTTTTTGCACCAGTTTTGTCAGAGGAACATTAAACACTGAACTGATTTTCACAGTGGAACAACAAAATTGCATTCAGTGCGCACCAGTGTTGCACCAGTTTTCCCAGTGGAAAACGCTATAAGAAAAACGTACAAGTAGCGCGATCTATTATTTAGCAGAAGTACGTTCGCTATATTATTTTACCGGCGGACGTTACATTATGTTTGTTTATGCACTGTTATGCATTTCCATAGAGGCTTTAGAAGAAGAAGAAGCATGATATAACTGGACGTAACCTATCGCGATTTAAAAAAAAAGTATCGAAGTACTGCGAGGAGCAGGAGAAGACATTCTCCCCAACTCTTTATCCTGGAGGTTAATGACAAAACAATACCGGCGCGGTTGACTCTGAAATTTGTATAATTGTGTATAATGATCTCGTTGTGACCAACGACGTTAACAAGATTTCTACTGTTTGACATGAGCTCCCAACAAATATTTCAGCTTCCTTATAGGCTCAGAGCATCCTTCAGATCACTAACATCCAAATTTAATGATATTGGCATTAAAATTAGGAATTATGAGATGCCTGAGAGAATTAAAGGCACATTCCTCGAACGCTGGGGTAAATAATAATAATATAACAAGATATATGGTTGAATTATCACGTTCTAATTATTTGAATGTGCTATAGTTTTTTTTTGTTTTACAGCTAAATATTGGCACGGTCTGTATATAGATTACAAGGACGTCGCGTTTGATGTAGCCAAAGGTTGCACAGAGCGTCCTGTATATGCTACAATATATATTACACGTGTGTATTGTTTCTTAAGTGTGTTGCAGGTTATGTCACTTGTCAAAATGTGACATATATATATATATATACAGGGAATGGAAAGTTACTTTTTAAAAGTAACTAGTTACAGTTACTCGTTACCGAGTAAAAAATATAACTAGTTACAGTTACAGTTATCGCTTTTTAAAAGTAACTTGTTACAGTTACCGTTACTTGAAAAATAACTTTTCGTTACTTTTCCGTTACTTTTTTAAAATCAATTTAAAAATGTACTTTTGCATTTTTTTTTATTATATATAATACTGACAAATATATAGTTTTATTTAAAAAAAAAAAAAAAAA